TACATTTTCCTAGTCGTTTCAGTCCACAGCATTCTAACTCCTATCGCCAGGGGCCATGTTTACACATATTTTTACTCCACCCAGGACCTAACAACTGTCGTTGGGTGCGATGAGGTAGTTGGAAAATGAATGGGCTGGGTAGGGAAAAAAAAGGATAAAAAATGTTCTGGCTTAGTGCAGGCCCAATTCTTCACTGGCTTTTATCACTCTCAGCTGGAAGTATATTCTCCTGAAACCTGTGGCTCTCTCCCAAATGCCAATCAATCTCCCTCGTTGTCTGAACTTGTTACCCAAGTAACAAGTTGGCAGGCTGTTTCAAGGCCAGATGGGTTTTGATGATTTCTTTGGCGATATCCATGATTTCCCCTCTGGGTAGAAGGAGGGTATGAGGACAGCTTATCTTTTTGGGGCAGAGGAAGTATAGGTGGGGTCTCTTATATAACATGAAATATATGGAAGTTTTCTTTGGGTTGGAAGTGCCAAAAGATTCCATAGAATTTACAGCCACAGGGTTTTTCTGGTGTGTCAGCTTCTGTACTGGCTTTGTCGCACTTCTGAGCCAGGACTAGTAACAGAGATTCGAAGCAATGTAGATTCAAAACGAAATACATATCAGGGTCAAGTATGGGGAGACGGTAACAGAAACGAGGGCTCCCAGCTGTCACGAAGAGCACCTTGGTCCTAGAGCAGGGGTCCTCAAACTTTTTAAACAGGGGGGCCAGTTCACTGTCCCTCAGACCGTTGGAGGGTCGGACTATAGTTTAAAAAAAAACTATGAACAAATTCCTATGCACACTGCACATATCTTATTTTGAAGTAAAAAAACAAAACAGGAACAAATACAATATCTATATTTGCATGTGGCCCGCGGGCCGTAGTTTGAGGACCCCTGTCCTAGAGGAAAGAGGTGAAGGACCAGCTCCAGGAAGTCAGCCGGACTCGCTGCAGTGCCACGCCCTCCTAGTGCTCACCAAAGACAGACCCGCCTGTGAGGGTCTCACGTAACTCTGAAGCCACTGAAATCACTGTAATGATCAACTGTTAAGGCTAGAGGGCTCCAGGAGACACCATCTCACTTATCTCCTTGCCTGTAGGCAGTAACATACCTGAAGCCTTTCAATTATAGTAGCACAAGTTTTATGTTTAAAAGCCTGGAGCGGGGGTGGAAGGAGTAAAAAGATTTCACAACTTTCCCATAAACCATTGTGTGCACATCACCTACTTCAGAGTTGAATAGAATCTTGACTCTTGTTCTTGACCTACCCATTCTCATCAGTCTAACCCCAAGACCTGCCCCCAAATGGGAGGATCCATAATTCAGGGAAAGCAGGGCTCTAGCAGGCCGGTACTGAAGAATGAAGGGTGAGCAAAGGTCTCAGTGACACCCTTCCAACGTTTTTGTCGGCTACTCATCTGCATTTAATGTGCACCGCTTTCCTTGTGACCCCTCTGCCCCCTTCTCTACCAACACGTTTTCCTAATTGTTCCATTTTTATTTTTAATGATTTGAGAGAGGAGAGACAGAATGAGAGAAAGATCGATTTGTTGTTTCACTTATTTACACATTCATTGGTTGATTCATGTGTGTGCTCTGACGGGCTTGAAAACGCAACCTTGGTGTACCGGGATGATGCTCTAAACAACTGAGGTACCTGGCCATGGCCTAATTGTTCCATGTTTCTAAAGACACTGCAGCCTGACACAGCCCCTTTGCCGTCATCACTGGTGTTCTTAAAACCTAACTAGGTCCTTAGGAACAGGAAGTGAACATCTTTCTGTGGGCAATCAGTTCCCTGTAGGTTTGCTAACATTACTGGTTCTGATGCAAAGTTCCCTGTGAGACTTGTGAGGAGAACCTGCCCTTTCCTGGGGTTCCTACTCTCTGGACATTCCCAGCCCTGGAGCCAGGGTTTCCCTTTGGAAGCACTGAGCTGAATATGCAAATTGCCATGCGATTTTGTGGAAGGAAGAGAGACAGGTCACAAAGGCCCAAACTCAACTGCTCCTGGGGAGGAGACTAGGAGGAAATATAATCAACAAAATCTGTGACCCAACTTTCTTTCAGGAAAGGGTGTGTAGGGTGGGCTGGCAGTCTGTTCTGAAGTCTTCATAGGAGAAGTATACCCACCCAGGGAAGCAGCCTTCAATGACACCCTCCATAGGGCTGATGTGCTGGAAAACAGCCAATCAGCAAGCAGTCCCTTGAGAAATGCTTGCCCTCCCTCCTCTAGAATTGTTGGGAAACTAGGGGTCTGGCTTTCCAGAACGGTCCCGACTGAACTTCCAGTTTCCTGGTGGGAACAGAGAGCTCAGAAGATTATATTCGCCTCCAAAGAAATCTATTTTTTGTTTGTTTGTTTATATAGATTTGTATGTTGGTGGATTTGGTACATGTCTGCACAGGGCCAGGCTTCCGGCAAACAATCTTATGGAGGAGGGCAAAAAGGGCTCACAGATTCCTTATTCAAAGGAAACAGAATCTACCCACCAGCAATGCCCCAAACACCACAAAAAACGTATGACACTTGGACATGCATACAATTGGTACATATATCCCTCCATCACTTGCTACAGATGGAGTAGAACTAAGGGAAAGCTGTGCTAGTGAGCCCCATGTCTTCTGAGCCACAGCCCAGAGGGCAAGGCCTCCTACTGGTCCCTGGTGGCAGAGTGACCCTCCTTCCCAACCTTCGAAGAATGGGTAATGACCGATGGCTACGGGGAGACACCCATCCTCTTGGGGTTGTCGGGGGTATCTGAGGCAGAGGTGCTTATGGTAGACTCCTCAACGGAGGCACTGAGATCCAAGAATTCCAGGATGATGTCCCAGAGGCAGTAAATCAAATGCCTGAAACAAATGGACAAAACAACTTAGAGCAGTGGTTCTCAACCTTCCTAATGCCGCGACCCTTTAATACAGTTCCTCATGTTGTGGTGACCCCCAATTTCATTGTTATAAATTGAACATAATTAAAGCATAGTGATTAATCACAAAAACAATATGTAATTATATGTGTGTTTTCCGATGGTCTTAGGCGACCCCTGTGAAAGGGTCGTTCGACCCCCAAAGGGGTCTCGACCCACAGGTTGAGAACGGCTGACTTAGAGGAAGGGCTGGCTCTGTCAGGAGACACCAGGTCTTATTTATGACACTTATTTGCCCTCCCCTCACCCCCATTACTGATATCCTGAGTGGACTCTAAACTTCAATAGCTGGACCAATCCTCTGCCATGGGACAAATTTGTTGAACTAAAAAAGGCTGTGGCCTCAGTAAAGATAGAAACAGAATTTGAGACTCGATTTTAGGAAATTCCATACTTATTTACGTAGCTAAGTTAGCATGGCAGCACTGTTTCTGTGAGGGAGGGACAGCAACTTTCTAAGAATTTCAGAGCCACTGAATACTGCTGTTTCTCATAACTCATTCACTACAGAGTCACTGGTCACCTTACTGGCAATGAGGCAAAGGCCAGGGCCCTGAGGAATGGGACTTGGTAAATGCTCTCTCCTTCAGGACAGGGTTTGAGAGAGATGGGAATACTTGATACTTTTCAGAAGCATTCTATCCCAAGGCACCAGCCGGGAAATACCTACCTCTTTTGAATTATTCTAGAGTATTCACCCAGTTTTTCTGGTTGCTTTACCAAAGCCCAATCTCATTATCTGATCTACTTCATAGTAAACAAAAACTATTCCTGATCCTAACAGTAATCATAGCTTTGCAGTGAGGCCAAGAACCCGTGGCTGACAATCATTATACGGCCTGCAATGACCAGACCAGGGGATGCTCTTAGTGTTCACGGGTGGCAGAAAGAACCATCAAACACACTGAACAGGCTGGAGGGTGACCAGGCGTTTTTAGTAGCTCATGGGGGGCCTTCCGAATGCAGACACAGAGGCTGGTCCAGCACTAGCTCACTACACAGGACAACCTGCTCAGGAGCCGGCAGCGTGGGCTTTACTTAGTGTGTGTGGACTTGGACATTAGTCTGCAGTCAGGCCGAGGGCAAGGAGAGACTGAGACCCCCTCTTAGCGTGGGCACCTCTGAGACCAGAGATGGCTTCAGTTATGCTGAAGCTGGGGCACACTTTTCAGCCTACCTGTTGATGAGGGGTTGCTGCAGTGACTCCAAGACTAGACTCCAGCTCAGCTGGCATTTGTCCACCCCAAGGATCTGCACTACAGTATCTAAAGAAGAAAACACAGATACGGCTTTAGTGTAACAGTAACATCTTCTCATTATATCTTGTACCTCTAGCCACTTGGCGGGGGGGAGAGAAAAGCAAGGTCAGATAAACCCACTATCTTTATTCAAATGGTGATTTCTGGCATACCACTCAACTACATAGCCAAACTAAAAATCCTCAGAAAACAGAAAAGCTAAGGAAAAAATATTTATGTAAAATATGCTTTTATTGCCCAGCTGGCATGGTTCAGTGGTTGAGCATTGACCTATGAACTAGGATGTCACAGTTCGATTCCTGGTCAGGGCACATGCCCAGGTTGCGGGCTCAATCCCCAGTGTAGCATGTGCAGGAGGCAGTCCATCAGTGATTCTCTCTCATCATTGATGTTTCTATCTCTCCCTTCCTCTCTCTGAAATCAATAAAAGCATATTTTACTTTATTTTTAAATATGTATTTTTATTAACCTGCACAGTTATTACTCCGATAGCTACGGGATTCGCATCGACTGCTTCTGGTGTGGTCACAGTGATCCTTTCCATCCCCACAGCATCACTTGGGTGAGGAGTAAAAGAATTGCAGCCCTGATCATGTTCCTATTAGCCTGAGACTTGGTGGGTCAACAGGTTTTGAGTCTGGCCATATTTAAGGTCCTTTGAAAAATGGGGAAGCGTGTGGGATAACGGTAGCAAAGCTTGATTGGAAGGGAACAGTTATTAGGATAGTCAATCTCGTTGTCCAATTACCTGGCAGGATTCCCATAAGGCTCTGCAAAGCCTGTTTCTCAGCTGCCACCTTCTGCTCCTGGGTCCTTACAGGCCGTGGGTACTTAGGCAAAACCCCACCCGGCCAGATGGACTCGCGGAGAAGTCGGAGGTACCGCACCCAGCACTGTGGACATGTTAGATTAGCTACCTGCACCTCTAGCCACCTGAGGAGGAAGAGAAGAGAAAGGTCAGATAAACCTGAAGGAAAGGGCGTAGCAGGTATCAATTTTGTGACAATCAGAATAGGGCAAAGCAAAGTTAGCACCAACTCTCCCAAATGAAACCAAGCCAATGCAACAACTTGGCTCACGGAATTTGAAGATAATAATAATGATGACATTATTTACTGAGTCTCTACTATGAGCCACACCTCAACGGGGTTTCACAGAACACAACCAAGGACCCCTGTCTCTGGGCCAGGCTGCACCGCTCCAACTCAGTTCTAGTGCAGAGCATTGTAACTTCTCAGTAACGAGCACACATAGGCTTTATAGTTATGGCTTACATGGCTTTACACAGACCCCTCGCCCTTGCGACCTTGTGCACACCCAGTTGGTCTTCAAGCCCCATGACCTGTCGTGGGACATCTGCCCTTTGCTCATAATATTCTCTCGCCGACAAGCCCCTCTCCTCCCCAGTGGCAAGTCCACTCCTCTGGCAAGACCTGTTTAAATGTCTCCCCTCCACAAAATCCTTGACCACTCCAGATAGAGTGCTTTCCCTCCCTTAGACCTCCACCAGCACTTAGTTCTGCACAGGGTTGAAACTAATAATTTACTTTGGAATAGAGATTATTTTCTCATGTGTTTACAGCTTTACTTTTCCAATGAAATTATAAGCACCACAAGAGTTCTATGTTTTATACATGTAAAATATTTCCAACTGTGCTCAAGAAATGTTGGTTGATGGTGTAATTGTTCTTATAATGTTCTTAAAATTCCCCTCTTTGTCTAAATATCAAAAATCAGTAACTCTGAGGGGCAGATATACCAAGTCTGAAGTTCTTGCAAGGCACTCCCACCTTGTTCTTTGTCCCTGCATTTTTTTCAGAGCAGTGTGGTCACTAGCTGAAGTTCAGGACCTCAGTATGTATGGTTGAGACTGGCATGGCTATGATTGTAATGGATGGACCATCAACCACTGCTACTTATGCACGAAGGCTGTTTGCTACAGCACCACATGGCAGCCCATGCCACCGCTCCTATACCCAAGTTACTGTCGCCTATCCAAGAGCAGAGGAGGCTTCCAAGGCAAACTTTATTTAACCTCCACTCTACCAGACAGTCTGCATTCCGCTCAAGCTAGGCATT